TAAGGGCAGATGTTGACAATTGTTGGATCACAGAGCATTACATGAGGGATTTTATAAGGGATTGCTCCAGCGGGACAGACTGGACAAGGTAAACACGGGGGACAGACTGGAGAAGGTATTTTTTGTTCCTTCTCAAATTATTAGAATCGTATGATTATCAAAAGTCAGTAATTGGTCTGATGTGAACACCATCAGACTGAACTCCTACAACACAGGCCATGGAAAATTAACATTTTATTGTGAGAACAAATTCTGGAAGAGATTGACATTCGCGAGAACAGTTTCCAAATATTCGTCATAGCCATCTCTCCAGATGATACTGTTCAATCGCTGGTTATCGTTCTGTAGGGTGCTCTTTGCTGCATTCACGCTCTCAAGTAAGTTCCAGTTTCGCAAGGCCATCTTGCAGGTTTCCGTATTGTCACAGAACTGATTAAAAACTGTGAAGCGATGAACACAGTCTTTTGGGGGCAGCACCTGAAATTGTAAAATAAAGGAATAAGCGACTGCATGCAATGACCACAAAATCCACGACGACTAGCGGTTCTCGCTCATCGAGGCCGAAGTTACCAGAATTCAGATCCGACAGAAAAAATATTTCCTTAATGATATTAAGCTGCATCTGGTGCTTGGCTGTAAAATTGCAAGTCAAACGGTCGGCTCGCCTTTGGAATCCAGGAACTGAATTAACGTAACGTATCAGATAAAAAAGAAAAAAAAGCACCTTTTTCAGTTGCGATGTGCAGAGCTAATTTGGAAACATACAAATTTGAGTACGTCGTTCTAATGAAATGTGGCTCAGCACCAGCTCCCATGAGATGCAATACAAGATAAGCAAAAAGTTCCCGTAGATCAACACGGAATGATTACAACTGCGACCCAAGAATGTATGATTTTTGACGAAGAAATCATTATTGGAAACCCGGCATATGAAGCCTCCCTGAAAGGCATTATGGAAAAATAATGTAAAAAACAAAAAGGAACCACCTGAGCCCCAGTATCTGGCTTAGGAAGAAAATTGACTACCAGTTACTCATCGTTGAAATGGTTTCTGAAATAAGACTTCACGGCCTGAAAAACGGAAATCTTCAAATTTATTTCAAAACTCATCAACTCGTCTCAATAACAACCAACAAATGCACTAACCAATCTGATGTTCTCTTAAATGCCAATAACGTAGCGGTCGAATAATTCGGATATCTCTATGCGCTTTTTAAGAAACCTTGAATACGTTGAGAAGAAGCTATTACTGTCCAAATTGTTCAAAAGCTGAACTCCCATTTTCGCGTTCTTCGAATTCAAATGTTCAGCTTTCTGTTTTGTCAGGTTATCAGCAATCATCAAGCAAGCTACCCAAGCATGAAGTCTACTGTGTTTCTGAAACATACCATTGATTATGGGATCATATTTAAATATACCAAAGTAACAATTATCGAGTACGATTTAGAATCTCAAAAATTTGAAACTCTACCACAATGACTCAATTTATGACAATATAATGCTGTGTTAAGAAAGCTATAAAAAAACACTTACAACAACGATCTCATCGCCCTTCTTCACACCAAGTTCTTCAAGAGTAGAATCCAGAGTAAGAATCTGCTGTTCATTTAAAAAGAGTTCTTGATACTCTACGTTAATCTGCCACACTGATCTCATGAACTCATTTAACTGCTCAATTGAGGTCTTTAATTGAACATTTAAATAAGTTAAAATATAATTGTAAAACAAACCTCCTTCTTGAATATTGAAGGCATTTTACAATGAGACACTCCGTCATGATCGAGTAGATTCAGAACAAAACATATATCCATTGTTTAGTACTGAAAAATGAAACAATATTATTAATATACCCACAATTAAGCAATATTTAAAAATTTGAATGCAAACCACGCTAGCTCAACGCGGTCGTGTGTCGCGTCGCGTTCACATTCGAGTTGAGAAATCGAAAATGTATAACAAAACATGATTACCCAGATTGCTTGTAGAGTGTATGATGACTCTAAGCTAAGAATGTTACAGTTCATGATCAATACAAGGATGATGTTCTTGTTTCATTGATGGATGTGCGAGATGTGGGTTC